TAAGTTGTTGTGGTTGCTGTTGTTTAATCATTTATTATGATTTAAAAATAAATATTTAATCTGTTATCTCATCAGCTATTTTTTCTATTTGAAATTGCCATAATATTTCATTCATGAATTCTAAATCACAATCAAATAGGTCAGTTATTCTAAATTTAATATTTGATAAATCTTTTGAATGAAGAATAAATGAATTCCCGGATAATTGAAACGGATATGATAAAGAAAATGTGTTTAAGTTGATGGATAAAATGTTTTGTATTGATGGGTAAGAGTTAGGGTCTAATGTTTGATGTGAAAATCTCATTGGGGTATTAACTTTATCACATTTGATTAAAATGAAATTGGAACCAGTGTCAGAATACAAAACATCCCCAACATCTTTTTCAAAATTTAATATTCCCAACAATGAACGAAGATGAGGAGTACAAAATTTAATTTTCAGCGGAAATTTAATAAGGTTATTTATTTCATCAAGTTCAAAAAGTTTATCGGGTTTTGATTTAAAATTTTCTTCATACCATATGATAAATGATTCATTTAAATAACTTAAAATCATGTTAATATCCCATTTCGTTATCACATTATTTATATACATATCATACGTTTTTTCATGGTCATCTTTAATAAATGATATATAATCTGAAGGGTCTAAAAGAATGGGATTAAATTTACCACTCACAGAAACGAGAGTAACATTATAAATTCCGCTAACTGTAAATTTAATTCACAGTTATTATTCGAAATAATATTGATAATTGACATTTTTATTACGATTAAAAATATGGTAAAGCGTTATTTTCCAGTGATAAATAAAACTAGAATAAGATTACCTCAAGAATTCATAAATTCAACGAATAAGAAATTCATTCATGTTATAAATTTTAGTGTTTTCAGAAAATATGAGTCAATGTCATATTCATCAACAGGTTATATTTCACTTCATTCAAATTTAGTTCAATCAAACCCATATAATGACCATTTCATAAGATTTTCAGATGGTATTAAAAATGTAATTGATAGATTAAAATATGAACAGATTGACAATATCGAATTTTTGGAATTTTGGTTTAAATATCCCGATGGAAAAAAGATTGAAGTTAAAGATAAAGCTGATACTATAACAAAAACAATTACAATGACCGATCCAGATAGTGGGGAATAAAAAGAAATAAAACAAACGAGAGAAACTGGTGAAAGGTCAATTATTATCGATTATGATTCAAAGGATTATTATTCGATAATGTTAATGCTTGAATATTAAATAGCCTTAACAAAGAATTTTTCAAGTGATATTTATATTCATCAACTATTTTATTATAAATATCATTATATGTTAAATGAAGTTCAGTTGTTGTTCCGTTCTTTGATATCTTAATTGTGCTAATATCCTTTATAGATTTATTTTTGCAACTGTTCCGCAGCATGAAACCTCATCATCTATGAAAAATTGAATCTTAACGTCTGAATCTTGAACATCACAAAGAATGGCGATAATGTGAATTAATGATTCATAAGGTAAAATAATTAAACCAGATTGGTCAATTAAATTTATTATTGAATCATAATTATTAATTATTATATCACGGTAAATTTTCATTAATTCAGAATTAATGTCTACTTTATATGGCGCATTGCGACTGGAATCTACGATTCCTGGGTTCTCGATGTTTGATGAAAGAGGCGGGGGGTATGTTGGATAAGTGGGAATTTCAACAGGTTCTTTACCAGGTTCAGATAAAATGGTTGGGTCTCCATTCTCATGGTTTTCTTCATTCTCCTCATTCTTCGGTAAGTCACGAGTTAATAAATTGGACTGTGGTGCTGACCTTGTTAATTCAGGGCTAACATTAACTTTAACATTTTGAATAATTCGTGATTTATCATCATTTACGTTATAACCAACCGTAATCTCTGCTTTTGCGTTAGTGTTCTTTTGACTAGTGAAACGTCTTCTCATTTATAATCGAATAAAAAAAAGAAAAATATATTTAAAGTTTTATTTAGTTGTTACGGTAATATCCCAAGGTTCATCATTGTTTGCTTATACTTTCTTTGTAACTGCACCAATTATGTTATTGATATTGCTTTGAGTTTCTTCCAGTCTTATTTTATCATTTACAATATCTTTAATCATTTCATTACATGCATTCTTAAAACCATCTGATTTTTCTAATTTACGTCTATCACTTTCTTTAATTAAATCAAAGTTATAACCTTGTTGAGAATAAAGTGGTTTCTTTATCAATTCCTTGAACGCTTCTGAAAGTGAAGATGAAGAAATTCTTGCCACTTGAATTGGTTTAAATTCTGCTTTCATTGCTTCTTTCTGTTCATTGAACAGTGGATCGAATAAAGCAACTTTAAAGAATTTCTTAGCTGGAATTTCAGGTCTAATATTTGCATATTGACCATCAAACTGATTAACATATCGTGGTAATCCATCCGGTCCCTCTTCAATAGCATTTAATTCTTCATTGAAATAAGAATATGGATTATAACGGTATGAATTAATTGGACCATTTTCACCTTCTCTAATGTATTGTTTAACAGCTTTTCCATTTTCATCAAATTGCATAGGATAACGTTCATTATATGCTTTACGTTTAGGATAATCAGATATAGTTAATTTATAACCATTTATGACTTTAATATTTCCTTGACCATCAGTAACGAAAACTTCATTTATACCATCAGGTTTTCCATTTGGACCCGTAATGTCTGCTTCGTGTGCTTCCCAATTTGGACCATGACGTTTGGCATATGCTTGAGCTTCTGGTAATGTTAAAACGTTTCTCATTTGTTTAACATCTTTTGAAGACCAGCAACAATATGAACTAATTCTTTCATTCCATCAGGAACTTTCATAGTTCTATTATATGCACCCCTTTTGTTTGTCCCTTGTTTTAATGGAACCTGTAGAAGATTTGCCATTTCTGTCATGTTTAATTATAAATAAAAAATAAAAATTAATTATAAAAAGTTAATCAAATTTAACACCTCCTTTATTTAAATCAACTATTATTTTTCCATGTTCACCTAATTGCTGATATTGTGTGTAAAGTTCATTAATGCTCATTGGTAAATTCACTTGATAAAGCATAACGTTCAACTGTTGACGACTAAACCCACTGAAAATGAAAAGTGTGATAGATTTGATTTAATGTTTGTGCTTAATGCTTTGAAGTATTGAACAGCCATGAAGAATGAACACTGAATGTGTCGACATTGAGTTAATAATTGATTAAAATATGATTTCTCATTAGTTATTAGTTTTGATTTCACTGCATCATCTAGAAAAATGAGTGAATGCAAAAATTCTCTATCAAAATTTGAAATAGAAAGTGTTTCAAATAATTCATCCCGTTGTTTATCAATAATTTTATCCTCTAATCCTTGCTTCTTGATTGTATTATATAATTCTTTATACATTAAAAAGTTTTTTAAATAATCTTCTGCTTCTTCTTGTGATAAATAAATAATTGGAATTTTGATTAAATGCTTTAAAGATTCAAATGTATCATCTGAAGGTGAACCTGAACGGTTGATATAAATTAACACATGTGAATGGGGGAAGTGTTAGCAATAATGATAATTTGTTTTAATATCGTTAATGTTTTACCTTTATTTTGTTTACCAATTGCTGCAGTGATTGAATTTAAGTAACATTCAGAATATGGAATTTTCATTAATTTTTCCTTAGATAGAGCATTTCTATTATCACTCAATGCTTCATTAATCATATCATCTACGTATGTATTATATACTCCCACTAATTCTTCATAAGGGGTGGATGAATTTAAATCCATTTAATCAAAAATAAATTTATAATTTTAAACATTTCTATTCATCAATATTTCATCATATGAACTTCTATACTGTGGTGGTGTACCTGTTGAATGATATTTCAAACCTTCGTCCGGTGTCCATGTCCAATACGTAGTCCTAGTAAAACAAACCTGAGGAGGATTTGTCACCTTTGAACAGTAAGTGTCATTTTCACCCTGAATGATTGGATAAGCTTTCACTTGTACTGTAACTTGTGAGTTGAAAGTTTCTAATCCATCAAAGAATATACCCGCTCCATCACGTTGAACTGGAATAGTGCATAAGAATGAAGTTTGGTCTTTCCATGTTCTAGCTAATGGCGTGCCATTATCATCATTCAGTGGTCTAGTTAATGAGTCCTCATATTCTTCTGTGCATTCATTCACTCCATCTAAATCAGAAGCTTGAAGCATACGTGTAAAGAATATGTCGCCCACTGTGGTCATCGCTTGATCGGGGAAGTTTCTGGAATCTATAGTGACCTGAAGACCTCGAAGCATTGGATTTTCTAAAAACTGTTCTTTGCATTGCATTCTTCGGAAATGTTAACACAACATCTGTAACATTATGAAGAGCGTATGAGAAATCTGAGCTAATACCTTCAGGAGTGATGCAACCTCCATTTAGTAAACGAACGTCAATATGTTGAGCTGGAATCATGAATGGATCTTCCTTACTGAATAAACGTGGTATTGCTTTAACTGATTCTTCAATTAAACCGTATCCTGGTGTAATGCATTTATCCTCTAAAACTTCCATCTTTGTGCATGAAATAATAACGTTATCAACTGTTGCGTTAGCAGATGTAGCGGCTAAGCTTGTAATTAATTTGGCAGGAAGTCCGATTTGTTGGAATTTGCGATCATATTTATAAACATGATTCATAATCTTTTCATAATTTTCATCAGTTATCTTTTCATAAACGTAATTTTGTAAATCAGCAACTCTTAACGGGTCAACCTGACAAAATACTAAAGTATCCCTGAAAACATAATATTAAGAATGATTTCACCAAATGATTTAGGATAATCATCGAACGCCTGAAATGCTAACAAATCATTTACCGGAATAATCATATCAAAAGTGATATCAACTTCTTCATTTGCTTTCTTGAAAACTTCTGAAGGTCAATATATTTACCACATACTGAGTTATCATATTTTTGAACATTATTAAATAAACGAATGAACAAACTTTTTAACTTTCCTTTCTGATTTTGGTTTATATGTTGCAAATGCGAAAGATTCACGGGCGCAATCCATCTGAAGATAACCGGCATCACCTCTTTCGGTTTCTACTTCTAATTGTTTAAAGCTTTGATTTGATGATTTGTAACCAACGAATAAACGCATGCATTTAAAAGCGGCATCACATGTGAAAGCTTTATTTGAAACTAGAGTTGCTTTAACTTTGCGTTTAATATATGTGTCACCTAATTGGTTCACATCATGAGCCGGATTTGTAATTCTTAAATGAGTTTGTTTATCATCAAAATATGGAGCATCAGAGTCATAGCATGAACTTTCAAGTTCTCTATAATATCTTCTACCATCATTCTTTGCGAATATTTCATTTATCTTTTCGAATGAATGAATGAAACACATTTCCATTAATCGGTTTGGTGTTTGGTACTAAATAGTTTGTCGTCATTTATTAATAAATAAAAAATCAAAATTAAAAGATGAAAATGAATTTTTAATTTTAATGAAATAATCAACTATGGCTGCAGGATTCTTTAAGAAATTATGGGATAAAGTAAAAAGAGGAGCGCATAAAGTTTGGGAAACAATGAAGAAAGGAGCAAATTGGATATTTAAGAATAAAGAAGCAATTAGTGACATTGCTGAATCAATAACGCCAAAAGCCGCCCCAATAGAGAAATATTAAATAAAGGAGAAAAAGTTTATCAAAGACTTCAACCGATACTAAGATAAAAATAATATTTATTTTTCCACTATCTACCTCCTATTTTATTAAGTATTCCTTCAGCAATTCCACCAATTGCGTTACCTGCTTGTGCTCCCATCGCCGGATTACCTGCTTTAGTACCTAATACTCCACTATGATAGTTCCTGCCGTTTTCGCTACTGGTGCCAAAAAGTTTGCAACGGGTTTAATAATATTTTTATGAACCCAACCTGTAGCTTTCTTAATTCCATCCCATAATTTTTTAAAGAATCCTGCAGCCATAGTTGATTTAATATTAATTAAAAAATATATTTCATCACTTATATTCTATTTTTTATTTAATGATAAATGAAACCGATTTTAAAAATAAATGAAACAGAGGAGGAAGAAATAGATGAGTGTCGTGTTCAACAAAAAATAAACGTTGTTAAACCAATTACTGAAACAAAAATTTTTTCATCTATTGAAGAATTTAATGACTATTATGCTAATAATAAAAAATTATTTGAAGAATTGACAACATGTAAATTGAATAAAATGTTTAAAGTTGATGGATTCAAAATTTCAAAAATAAAAGGGGTGGTTAGTTTGAAATCTATTCCTCAATCAAGAATCACCTCATTAATGAAAATTGATGATTTAACAAAAAGAATAGAAGAGATTGAAGAAAGAATAAATCAAATAATTGATTTCATAAATTCAAATAATCATTAGTTTCTTAAAGTTCTTTTTAAAGTTTATTTTTTTATTTTTTATTTCATTATGGTAGTGAATCTTTTATTCTCGTTTATGAGGTCTTTGATTATGATTCCATTCAGGATTTAAACAATGTTTAATTAATCGCGGAATATCTGACATCATCTATATATAGCTTCTTTTATAAAAGATAAAAGATAAATTATTTTAAAATTAATGTTAATTTTTAATGTGTTTATTTCATTATGTTTGGGCTGAGTGTAAATGTCTTACAATTTTGAAAATTTTTTAAATCTTGATTTATTCAAAAACGTAAGAATAAAAACCGTCAGAATCATACATTTTTTACTTCATATGTTAAAAAAAATGATACAAAATCGCTCGATATTGCATGAATTCTTACGTTTACAAAAAAAGTCACACAACCCTTCCACATATACTACTGCATTTTCTTCATGCATAAACTTAACCAAAATTGTCATTCCACTAAATATTACACAGATCTATCAATTTACATTTTCAGATTGTATCTCATTGTCAAACATAACATTCCTAGGAAATGTAACCGATATTGGTAACTGTGCGTTTACTAATTGTTTATCCTTAACAGAATTCAAATTTTCAGAAAGTGTCAAAACTATCGGAGAATCTGCATTTGGATATTGCATATTATTCACAAGTATTACAATTCCATCAAAAGTAGCAATAATTGCAGCTAGTACTTTTAGGGACTGTACTTCATTAACAAGCATTATTTTCGAGGGAAATATAAAATATATTAGAGATAGGGCATTCTATAATTGCACATCTTTAAAAGATTTTACATTTCCAAATAGTATAAGCTCCATTGGACAATTTTCGTTTTCATATTGTGAATCATTGGAAAATATTACTTTTTCTGGAAGTATAACTCAAATCTTATATAGTGCATTCAAATATTGCACAAATCTAAAGAATATTTCATTCCAAAACAATAATAATAGATTATACTTTGAGGATGGAATATTTTTTGGTATTGTGCATCCATTGAATATTTTCATTCCAGGCAATTTTAACATTTCTATATATTATGATAACTATTTTCCAAAAAGAAGTAATCTGTATATTACAAATGAAACAATTCTATCAGATAGTTGTAAAGATCTTTTTGGTAAACATTCAGTTTATGTTCATAATTCTGATGAATCAGCTATTATATCAAATGAAATGACAAGCACTGTCATTAATTTTATATCAATTCCGCTAGAATATCCAAAAACGGCAGAAAATATTTATCCTAAGTCTAAATGTTTTCAATTAGCTCCAATTCTCGCTTCAATTAAAAGATAATTTTGCCCATTTTTAAATGTCATATTATTATTGATAATTTCGGAGAATGCTAACTCCATTATAACACGCCATTAAATCTATAAAATCTTTGGAATAAACAATTATAAATATACTCTATTAATATTGCTTTTCAATAACATCATTATTTTTCTCGCGATACCAGAATCTTTCATAGTTCATTTTATCATTTTTACAGCTTTTAAAAATGAAGTCATTAAAAACGTCGAGAAAACCATTTCCGAGAATGCAGATGACACCCAGATTCTTTTACAGCACCAGCCATTAAGAATGTGGTTTCCTTCTATATGGTCTTGAAATAATTTTAAATTATATGGAAGGTAATTTAAATGACGTTACATGCCTGCTGTCAAAAATTTGAATTAAAGTCAGATTGGCGTAAAAGTATCCTTAAATACACTTACAACTTTCTGGCATGCTCTCATAAAATCAAAATACCAATTATAGCAAAAAAAAGTATAGCACAGGGATTTATAACTTGGATTTTGAAAAAAAAATGTCAGAAAGTGCTAAGTGCAGTCTTAATGATGCACTTACCACTTTCTGACCTTAATTCAACTTTTTGACAACTAGCGTGTAGCGTCATTGCGATTTAACCTTAAACATCTGAATTGAAGGCCATGTCATAGGGGTGTAAGTGTATATGTAAGGGTGCACTTACCACTTTCTGACATGATCTCATAATATCTATATATCTTTATTTTAAAAACAAAAAAATATAACAGCCATATGAGGTACTAGGCTGTGAATTATAATAACTTTTTCCCAAACAAAACTATTAACTTTTTAACTTAGAAAATTGTGATATAAAGTCAATATGTCAAAAATTTGAATTAAAGTCAGAAAATAAAAAATAATTTTTTTAATCCTTAAAAACAGGAGTGAAATTGACAACAGAAGATTTGACGTCAGAGATTATATCTCCTACCAAGTCATTGAGTATCTGTCTTACTTTGAGTCTGATTTTTTCCTGAGTTATCTGCATTGAAGATGAAGGTTTCAAAGTCTTTATTTTCTCAGAAATTTCTTCCCACTTAGAAATGAAAGCACTGCAGCCACTCAAGTACTCAGACAATAGAACAATTGTGGAGCCGTCCTTCATCTCCAATTTAACTTCTTTAAGACAACTACTGTGTTCAACAAGTCCAACAACACTAACAAACTCTGTTTGGATTCTCAGATTAAATGTATCAAACAAACTCATGAAGTTTTCTTCATTTCGACATGAAACAATGAAATCATTCATAAGTAATGTATCAACGTAATCAATCATGTGATACATTTTTGTTTCCTTCTTCACTGACCTCTGTTTGACGTTGATTTTTGATTCATTTTGTGTTGAAAATGGAGAAACTGGTTTTACGTCTAAATCTATGTCATCAAAGTGGTCAATGATGAAGAAAACATTTGTGAAATCAAGAATACGTGACAACCTCTGCGGGAGAATGAATGTAAGACGAAGAAAATCGTTCATTCCGTTTGGATTTGAAATTATATTCTTAATTTCGTGTAAAATCGTGTTAAATTCGTGCGAAAGAGTATCAAAAGGAGGAATATGGAGTATCTTGGAACTGATTGGCTTAAAAGTATTGTTCCTTGAGAATTGTAAAAATCCTCGAAGAATTTCATCAATAATTGGGGTCTTTTCGCAAGAATGGGATGAATCTTCGGCATCTTTTCGCTGTGGATGGATCCTAAGTAGTGGATATTGGTCTGCCAACTGTAATAAAGTTGTATTTATGAATTTTCCGTAGAAATCGAAGATATTGGATGTATGTTTAGCGAGGGATTTGAAATCATAGTAGAAAACAGCTGTATTCCTCTTGTTTCCTGTTGAAATTAAATATTGATAAAAATTCTTACTCAAAATCTGCAAGAAAGTGGATTTTCCAGATGAATTAGGACCAACTATGGCTATTCGTCCACTAAATGTACATCCATTCTCCATTCCTGGACAAATAAAAGTATGATTTTTCAAAATTTCTTTTGCTTTGTCATCCAAATCATGGGGATGGGTAGTAATATCACCAATCAATGATGAAAATGCTTTGAAAACTTCCATATTCGCGGCTTCTTCGATTCTTTCGGCATTATCAGAAATAAACTGACGAGTTTCGAATTGTTTCTTCGTAACTGATGATTTGGCATCTCCCAATTTCTTTGGTGATGACTGTATTGACTTATTATCGGGAGATCCGTTTTCATCGAGTAATATTTCTTTTCCTTTGCCTTTTTTATCGTAATTATTATCGATTTGATCGTCATCTGATATTCCTTCTACGTATTTGACGTTGACGTCTGATAAATGTTGTGGATACTCGGATTTGTGGCTGGAATTGATTTTCGGAGTATTGTCTGGTGGTAATGATATCTTTGGCTCTTGGTACGTATCGGAATCCGATTGTTCTTGTAAAAATGGACTGTTTGGTTTAATATTTTGTTTTGATTTCGCTTTTTCACGAATTGGAGATGGTTCTCTTCGCGGGCTTGCATTATTTCCTCTTGACGGTGATGGTATTCTCTGCTTTGATGGACTTTGGATATCCATTTTTGATTGAGCTCGAGGGCTTTGTTTTAATGGACTGCGAATATCACTTTTGGAAGGTGGGTTTTGTCTATTTGTGTTCTTATTTGACTCATCTAATTTTGATGGTGATTTCACGCTTGATGAAAATAATTTCATTGGTTGAATGGGACTTTGATCATCCTGATCAAGTATTGAGCATATAATAAGATCACCTGGTTTAATTTGCTTAATATCAGTAATCCTATTCATTTCGGAATCGTATAAACATTTAATTTGAGGTCTATCTAATGCAACAGCTGCATCATTCATGATTTTTTGAAGAGAATTTGATAGTTTTATCATTATTGAGTCTGAGTTTTGATTCTTTCCCTTACTTCGCACATAAATAACAGGTTTTGTTGACATTTTGTAAGGAAATATAATTTTGTATACTTTATGTCGGCTCACAAAATTGAATTGAATGATAGTATACAAAATAATAGTTATTAAAAATAATGCAAAATTTAAAATTAGATATTGAGTTAAAAAGTGACAATCTTAAAATTGCCATTAAAAAAAAATGAGTGATGAAAATGGTGCTTCTTTTTATGGTGCAGACTATAATCATAGATTCCAACAAAGATATCCAAATTCTCAGCGACGTGGTGTTGATGTAAAAGCAAAATCCCAAAAATTCGTCGAATTAACGAATACAATGAAAATATTTCAAAAAGAAGAGATAGAAAAAGTTAGAACAGAGCTTCTAAGAGATGTAGAGAATCTAGAAAGCAATCTTCACAACTCCTTAATAAAATTAAATTTTGTATGTCAACAAGAAAAATCGTAAACTTAAATAAATACCATGGAAATAAACTATTTTATTAATAAACAAATTGTAAAATAACAAAAAAAAATCCGAAAAATATAATAAAAAAAATTAATCTTAGATACTATTAAGATTTTTCAGAAATACTTTCGATGCCTTTTCATACTGTTCGATACTGGCCAGATTGTGAAAGTATTTCTTGAGCTTATCAGATTTCATGGCCTTAGAGCATTCGCTGTGGAAAGAGAGAGTTACCATCGCAGTTATTGCATCGGATACGAACTTCTGGGAGCTTAAAAGCTTCGTAAGTATTGGAATAAATTTGAGATAACTCGGGGAATAGCAAACACGGCCAATATCATCAATGAATGATAAGCAGTTGGTGTAGTATTTATCTGTGGCTCCGTTCTGAGTTTCGACTGCAAATTGAAGAATTATTCCGTTTTCTTCCAAACGACGAATAAAAGCGACTGATTTCGGAGCGCGTCGTACTGCAAGTGTCGCAATCTTCATATTGTGGCAGTCGTGGCTTTCCAACAATATTTTCAAAATATTGATGAAAAATTCAGAATTTGAAGCGAGTTCGCGGGTTTCTTCATCGGCAAATATGGTAAAGAACAATGTTGACACTTGTTGCAAGTGTTTTTTCGCATAAGAAATCCAATTATTATTTTTCAGAAGAAATATCTTTCCTTCTGTGGTTTTTGCTATGATAAGCATCACCATCCATGCTTTAGGTGATGATCCTGCTACTTTTATCAACGCTGAAACAAGTTTTTCGTCAGGAATAATCGAATTTTGTCTAATCAACAAAGAAAGAACTGAATCGGACAGTTCCTTATTTGTAAGGTGTTTTGTGGCCTTGGATAAGTCGATTTGGCCGTTTAAGTCTCCGAAAACAATTGATAAACAATTATAAGTTGTTTCTACAGTTCTGTCGTCTTTTGCTGAGAGGAAACTCATGAATATAGGCTTAAGATGTGATAGACGTTCTTTCCTGTACGTTGGAAAGTTTTGTATCAAATAATAAAATAATGAAATGTAAAGATAGCCGAAACCCTTCTTCAAAACCAATCTCTGTATTGTCATTAAGTTATCCAGGATCGGCCAAGGGTTTGTAAGCGATAAAAGTTGTTTTGCGTAATATGAGTGCAAAATTAACATTTTTTCAGGCCGAAATGAGAACAAGGCATTGATATGTTTGCAGTTGGACTGAGATAGACCTTTGGGATAGTGAATAAACAAATAGGAGAAGCATTCTATTATTATATCAACAACTTCTGTGTCAACAAAGGGTATTTTAGTGAAGAACTTGGAGGTAACGAAAAAAGGAATGAACTGCTTGTCCCGTTTCATCAATGTGCAGCATGAATTATAAATTAATTTTAAAATTGAGGGAGAAGTTGAACTTTTGAAGTGTATTGATATAGGTGTATAGAATGCTGAGAACTGGTTTGTTGTTATAACTTTAGAATAGTAGTCCAAATACTTAGAAAACAAAGAATTTGTTGGATCTCTCAATACATTGGTTGCAGGATCATCAGATTCTGAAGAATAGTCTTCTTCTTCGATTTCATCGTAATATTCATCAGAATTATATGTGTTTTGCTCAATATTTTTATTGTTTTGAGTTTGATTTGTATTTTCTGACAATTGCTTCTCAATAATAGCAAATACAGACTGGTCGTCGCCTCGGTGACATAGTGCGTCGTTGTCTTTGATCATTTTAACAAATTTTGTGATTTCATATTTATTTGTTTCGTGAAAATAAACTCTTCCGGAGCTAAACTCGTCAAATATCTGCGCAAATGTAGGTCGTACATCTGGATCCCGGTCCCAGCATTTACGTATAAGCTTCTGTAGAGGTGGTGGAGTATTATTTGTAAATCTAGGTCGTTTATCCTTTTGTACGACGCCTGTAAAGATATCGTTGACTGATAAACCTTGGAATGGCTTGACATTTTCGGACATTTCGTAGAGAATCATAGCGAAAGCGTAGACATCAACTTTGTTAGTGTAATTGTTGGATGTAATGAGCTCAGGAGCCATGTAATTGGGTGTGCCAATCTTTTTGGTAAGAATACTAGTCTCTGAATCATCAAATCGAGCAATTCCGAAATCACATATTCGTGGAAAGAAATTTTCATCTAAAAGTATGTTTCCTGTCTTCAAATCTCGATGTATGATGTTAAGAGAGTGTAAATGAACCATACCAAATGAAATTCCAATAGAAATGGATGTTAATTGCGTTCCTGAAAGGAAATCTTTGCATCTTGAACGAGTGTATGAGTTAAGTGCACCATTTGGCATGTATTCAGTGATAATTGAATAAGGAGGTTTTGTTGTAAAGCCAACAAAAGGAACGAGAAAAAAGTTGTTGCACTTAGCCATAGTTTCGATTTCTCCAAGATATCTTCGAAGCTTATTGCCTTCAAGCTTTTGTGAAAATATCTGCTTAATTGCAACAATTTTACCGGAATTCTTATCAACGCCTTTGATTACTTCGCCGAAACCTCCTTTGCCGATAACATCTTGGAATTCAAAGTTGGATAGGTCAACAACCAAATCAGATTCAGTCTTGGAAAGTTCTTGAAGATGCCTCTTGTAAACACTCATTTTTTTCTCTTATATCAAAAAAAAAAAAAAAATCAAACATAAAAACAAGAGAAAAGTAATTTTAAATTGATAATAAATATTTTATGAAAAATTCCAACGAGTGGTGTAAGAACTTTTTTTTTGATTGATTGATTGAGAGAGATAAAACTTAACTATTTTTTAAGCTTGGATTTATATCTAATACTTGATTATCACGCACTTTTCAATTAACTATCATATCTAACCATAAGAAACTATATGAATGATTATGAATTTTTTTGGTAATTGTGCCTGAAGCTTTAATTCAAGATCGTCAAGAAGGAGATATCTGCAGATAAATCATATGTTTTGTGAAGAATATCTCTATGTTTAAAAATGTATCACTAATGTTTGATTTTCATTCTAAATCAAATTAGAGTAGTTTATCCATCAAGGGTAATATATAAGTGAGAAAAAGTAGAAAATTGAATGATCCACTTATCATTTAGGTTAATGAAAATAGTAGTATATGTTGACGGGTTGTGTGACTTTTTTTGTAAACGTAAGAATTCATACGATATTGAACGATTTTGTATCATTTTTTTTAACATATGAAGTAAAAAATGTATGATTCTTACGGTTTTTATTCTTACGTTTTTGAATAAATCATTAAAAAAAATGTATGATTCTTACGGTTTTTATTCTTACGTTTTTTATTCTTACGTTTTTGAATTCATACATAAAAGAAGCTATATATATAGATGATGTCAGGTTATTCAATAATGAATTATTTTTGAAGAACTGAAGGGGTCACCAGGTCACCAGGTCACCAGGTCATTTAACTTCTCTGAAAAAATGAGACAACATGACATTTTGACAACAACATAGGAGGATGGCAATAATGAATTATTTTTGAAGAACTGATTGGAATCAATGGAGTCATGAATGAGTAAAATAAACTTTAAAAATAAATTGAAACTAATGATTATTTGAATTTATGAAATCAATTATTTGATTCATTCTTTCTTCAATCTCTTCTATTCTTTTTGTTAAATCATCAATTTTCATTAATGAGGTGATTCTTGATTGAGGAATAGATTTCAAACTAACCACCCCTTTTATTTTTTTTATTTTTTATTTTATAATAAATGAGTATAACAACTAATTCATTGAAATCTTTAAAGTTCACTAATTCAGAATTAGAAAATATTTTAGAAAATTTTGGAGACGGTTCTTATCCAACATATATGCAGAATGTGAAAGAGTTTTCCAGATTGTTGAATGAATTTAAATATAACGGACCAATTACTAAAAAGGCTATAATGAGATATTTATATCCCAAAAAAGTTGAAAAACAGGAGAATATTCCTCTTTATGGTCCAGAGGACCTGGGCTCAGAGAGCCTTGAAACACCTCCTGAATATTTTGAAGAAAAAAATTAAACAAGATGAATATTATAACGATGAGATTGAGAAATTGGAACAATTAAGAAATGAAATAGATGAAAAAATTAAGGAATTGAGAAATGTTGAGAATGAAGTAGAGGGTTTAATGAATATCCCAGCTTCAGAATCAGCAGTTCAAAAATCACATGAGGAAAGATATAAAAATTACTTTTTGGAATCTACTAAAAATTTATTAGATGGTGATATTGACGAAACACTTTCAGAAGAAGGCACAAAATTTATTCATAAACATAAGTTACAATTTATTGACGATGGAGATTATCCATGTATATTACTTTCACCTCCTCTTGATTCTGAAAAATTCAAAAAAGCTCTTAAAAACGTGACATATGCAACTAATACGATTAAGAAAGAAGATCATGATATTTACACAAATTATTATTTAAATAAATGCACAGGTGTTGATAAAGTTTTTGATTTATTAGATAAAATATCAAAAGAAACCATTGGAACATATAAAATTTTGTGTGATTGTGGTTTCATTATTGAAGATACCAATAATGTTTCATATGAAAGAACAGCACCGAAGGAAGACGAAGTGGAAAGGTCTATACCATTCGTTATTAAGAACATAAAAGATATGAAAACTTATAAACATTATATTTATTCATTTATTTCAGAAAAAATGGAAGCAACCCATAAAACATCTTCTCATCATTTTATAGCTATTCATACATTCCTTTTCAAAGTTGTGAAATTAAATAAGACAGGAATTAGATTTAATGTATCAGGGTACGCATTCTTGAGTAAATTAAAATGTATTCGTCACGTCGCAGATGATAAAAATTTATGTGTTCTTAATTCATTTTATGGACTTTAGCCCTGGACTTTAAAAAAATAAACTTTATTTTTATTTATTTTTTAATTTTTATTCTTACATAAATGAACAAAAATGGAACAGCTAAAATGAATGATAATCAAATAAGAGCCGAAGGTAGAAGGTTATTTAAACGCTTCTATAACATTCCTGATGGTGTTAATCCTAAAACTCGTAGAAGTTATTTAAATGAAGCCATAGATGCATATGAAGGATTTGACATTTCATCAGAAAGTGAGAGGTTAGCAAGAATGTTAAACGTTAATATTGATTTTTATTATTGTGACCCTCAACCAGAAGATGTAGACATTAACAAGGTAGACTTTCCATTAGTGGATTCAATAATGATAGATCCAGAATTTGAAACAGTAAATATTTTATTAACACAGAGTCCATGTGGAAAACTTCACGCTGACAGAATAACAGACGTTGAAGCACTCACAGGATATAAAGTTTGCCCCTTTTGCAAAGAAGAAGTATATTCTATCCGTGATGATCCAGAAAGGAAAAACCAAAGAAGATTTTTAAAACATTGTGAGAAATGTAAAGAAAATAATGGAAGATTAATTCAAGACGTTCAATTGCAAAACACACAACAACCATATGCACCACATATCACGAAACAGAAGATATATCAATGGCTATTAGCACATAATTTGCAGGAATATTATAAACCAACAAGATATTATATTACTTTTGACTTCGAAACATTAGAGACTAAAGAAGAACTTCAACTTTCTGAATGTGCAACTTTGAACGCTTACTTAAAACCATTTATGGTATCATCAACGGTTAAATTAAACGATAAAACATATACGAGGAATTTTTGCTTAACTTCGAGTGATTCTTTTATTTCTGATTGGATTGAATTTTTATTTTCAACCTGTTCATTAGTTGCTAAATCAAATATTGAACAATATGAAGAATTAATGAATACATTAAATGAGAAACAAAAGGAAGCAATGAAAGAGCTTTTAGATGAAGAATTTAATAAAGTGAATATCATTGGTTTTAATTCGGGAAAGTTTGATTTAAATTTAATTCTTCGTGATTTAAACACTGCAAAATGGAAAATAAAATCAATGCTGGGTTCATCTTCTCAATTTAAGCAAGTCATAGTAAAGAAAACAAACTGTCCATATGAATTAAGATTTATTGACATCAGAAATTATATAGCGGGTGGAACATTAGACCAATTCACTCAAGATTTCGGAAACAATAAATCACATGTTAAATCCTTTTTCCCTTATCAATTCATCACATGGGAGAATTACGAAGATGAATTATATAAAAAGGAACCATTCACTCAAGATTCATTTTATTCAGCATTAACACAAGAAACAATATCCGATAGTGATTATCAAATATATCTCAATGATGCTAAAAATTTTGAGAATAGATTAGAATATTTTATTCATTATTGCAATAAAGACGTTGAAATTATGATTGACCCAATTGATAAAATTATCGAAGAAACATTTGTTTATAAAATTGACATGCTTCATAATCTTTCTTTATCATCGAATGCATCAATGATTCGTTACGCGTTAGCATATAAGAACTTCAATCCTAACGAAACATATCCAGAAGAAGAAAATGTGGAATCAAGTTTTGAATTAACAAAAAAGTATTGGAAATATAAAATTGAATCATATAAGAAACAAGATGAAAAAGCAGAAAGGGATACTAAAAACAATGTTTCAATGGATGACTATCAATACTATCACGATTTAATCCTTTCATCTAAATGCAAAATGTGTGGTAAAGCGTTTACATATGCAAATAAACCAACATTGGATAGAATCGATAATGAAAAACCACATACCAAAGAAAATTGTCAGTTAATGTGTTGTTATTGCAATGTCGTAAAATCAAATAAAGATGAAGATGTTCAACGTTTAAGAATCAATTTAAGAAATTATGCATTAAAAAATAATTTACCAATGACTTTAGATTCAGTTGAAGCTTATCACATTCTCCGTAATGGAATTACTGGTGGTCTATCAAATGTTCAACATCGTGTTAATCTTAAAGGAATCACGCACATTAATAAACTTGCATATAGTCCAGAAACTAAAACTGTATCAAATGAGGACACCACCAACATTATGACTCATTTCGTTGGTGTTGACTTTAATTCATTATATCCTTCATCATTTTCATCTAATCCTCATGATTTCATTCAATATACTGACCATAAAATGTATATGCCGGGAAGATTGAATGGAGTTATCATTTGTGATACAGCAACAAAGAAAGCAAAAGCACTGGGAGTTATTAGAAAGAAAAATACTTTATTCGTGGCTGAAGTAAAGGGTCACATTGATGAAAAATACATTAATGATTACATAAACTTTTTACCGATAATAAGAAACTTAGATATTATCACAGATGAAAAAACAATTGGCAGTTTTATGTATAATTACATGAAATCAAACAATTTACCAGTTGACCAGAAACAGAGAAAATTAACTCAGTTAGCATCAACACACAACCAATATCAACCATTTTCTTCTTATTATCTATGGTATCTAATAGACAGATTTCATTTTATCATTGATGACATTCAATCAATTTTAACATTTACTAAAAACACTTGTTTTAATGAATTTGCGAAAGAATTTATGAACGAAAGACAAAAGGCTGAATTAGAAGGAAATAAAGGAAAAAGTTTATTTTGTAAGATTTCGCTTAATGGATCATATGGTTACGATGCAATGAATACACAAAAATAAAGGAAAAAGTTTATTTTATAAGAT